AGTCCTTGCTCTCTGAGCTTTTGTTTTCTTTCCTGAAATGTTTTTGTCACACAAACACTTGAAAGAGAGGCAAGTCTTTTGGCTCTAAAGGTATTACTTGGACCAGCATTTAAGCTTAGCTTCTTTGAGCCAATTAGGCCACTATATTTTTCTTTTTAACCAGTTTAAAAGTGGTGAATTATATTGCATTCTGGTCAGAGAATTTGGCCTGAACATTTCCACTTTTTAGATTTTACTGAAGTTTTTCTTGTGGATGAGTAAATATATAGTTAATTTTTATAAATGTTCCATGGAGATTTGGAAAGAATGTGTATTCTATGTAATATATACAGTTTTAGAGCTGTATATGAAATCAAATTTGTAATTATATTATTCAGATTATCTATACTTTTTTTTGGCTACTTGATTTAATTTATATATTTTACTGCTTTGCTGTTTGACATATAAGCATCTTCTTATATAACTTTATTATGACTTGAATATTTTATCCCTTTTAGTCCTAGTAAATCTTTTACCATGAATTCCATGTTTGATGTTAATGTTACCACTGCTGCTTTATTTTGTTTGTATTTTCTAGATAGATATTTTCTCATCTCTTTATTTTCTACATTGCTGAGACTTTTTGTTTGAGATGTTTTCTTATGAACAATAACTTGGTGGATGTTTCCTTTTGCCTCAGTCTGTCTCTCTATAGAGAAATTTAATACATTCACATTTATTTTAGTATTTGTGTTTGATATGTTTCGTCCCTATTGCTTTTGGCGGGGGAGGATAGGGGTAAAGTTTTCTTCTTTCCTTTTTTTCCTTTTCTGTTTGCTGTATTGATCAAGTTTCCTTTATTCCTCCCCCTAGACATTTAGAAGTCTTGCTACTCAATTCTTTTTTTCCCAGAAATTGTACATAGGTGTTACAATTTCTAAGGCAAAAAACTCTTAAAATTTACAGTTGTCACATAGGTGCTATAATTTAGTTATGTTTAGAATCCTATAGTCATGGTCCTTTTCTCTCAGAGCTCTGTAAATGTTGCCCCACAAATTTTCAATATTTTGGCATTTAGTGTTTGTATCAAACACATTCTTCTTCTTTTACAGATAACCTTTTTTTTTTGGACTTGGAAACTCGTAAGGATTTTCCCTGTATTTTTTTAATCTAGTTTTTTCTTTCCATGCCCAAATCTTTGTCCATTTTTTCCCCTCAAGCTTTGGAAAAATTCTTTGATAATGTTCGTATTCAGTAATTGTGTTTTTTGAAGCATTCATTTTACTATGCATTGCTTCTACTGACCTTGTATGTGGGCAATCAGGTTTTTTGTCTCCATAATCTCTTTCTTATTTTCAGATTGTTTCTTTATTTTATTTTATTTTTTTATAATTTTATTTATTCATTTTTTTCCCCCAAAGCCCCAGTAGATAGTTGTATGTCATAGCTGCACATCCTTCTAGTTGCTGTATGTGGGACGCGGCCTGAGCATGGCCAGAGAAGCGGTGCGTCGGTGCTCGCCCGGAATCCGAACCCGGGCCGCCAGCAGCGGAGTGCACGCACTTAACTGCTAAGCCACGGGGCTGGCCCCTTAACATTTTACTTTTTTTTTCTTTTTTTTTTGTGAGGAGATCAGCCCTGTGCTAACATCTGCCAATCCTCTTTTTTTTTTTTTTTTTTTTTTCTGAGGATGACTGGCCCTGGGCTAACATCCGTGCTCATCTTCCTCCACTTTATATGGGACACCGCCACAGCATGGCTTGCCAAGCAGTGCGTTGGTGCATACCTGGGATCCAAACCGGCGAACCCTGGGCCGCCGCAGCAGAGCACACACACTTAACCACTTCTGCCACCAGGCCGGCCCCCCTCAGATTGTTTCTTTAATGTGAAAGCCTGCTGTTGTTATTGACAATAAAGTACATTTTCCTAACTTTAACATCTTTATTGGAGTATAATTGACACTTACTAAACTGTACATAGTTAAAATGTACAATTTGATACATTTTGAAGTATGTGTGAAACAATTACCACAATCAAGATAATGAACAGATCTGTCCTCCCAAAGTTTCCCTATGCTCCTTTTTAATCCTTTCTGCCCCTCCTGTCCCCAGGCAACACTGATCTGCTGTCACTTAGATTAGTTTGCATTTTCTGGAATTTTATGTAAATGGAATCATACATGTACTCTTTTAAAAAACATTTCTAAATGAAAATTTCAAACATACAGAAAAGTAGAGGATAGTATAATGAGCTACAGTATATCCATTACCTAAATTTAACAATTATAACATTTTCCCATACTTGGCTTCATTTATTTACTTTTTTTAAATCAATAGACTTTATTTTTTATAGTAGTTTTAGGTTTACAGAAAAATCAAGCAGATAATACAGAGTGTTCCTATATTCCCTCTCCCTCTGCACACATTTCTCCATATTATTAACATGTTGCATTGGTATGGTAAGTACATTTGTTACAACTAATGAGCCAATATTGATAAAATATTATTGACTAAGGTCCATAGTTTACATTAGGGTTCATCCTTGTGTTGTATGGTCCTATGGGTTTTGACTATGTACTCTGTTTTTTTGGTCTAGCTTCTTTCACTTAGTATTATTTTGAGGTTCATCCACGTTTTTATATGTATGACTTTTTTGTTTCTTTTTATTCCACATTTTGTTTATCCAGTTGGGTTGTTTCCAGTTTGGAGCTAATGTAGATGAAGCTGCTATGAACGTTCTTGTACAAGTCTTTGCATGGACATATGCTTTCATTTCTCTTAAGGTAAATACCTAGGAGTGGAATGACTGAGTCATATGGCAGGAATATGTTTAACTTTTTGAGAAACTGGAAAGTGGTTGTACCATTTTACACTTCCACCCAGTGTGTGAGAGTTCTGGTTGCTCCACATCTTACCAACATTTGGGATGGTCAGTCTTTGATTGTAGCCATTCTAATAGGTACATTTGGTATCTCATTGTGGTTTTAATTTGCATTTCCCTAATAGTTAATGATGTTGAGCGTATTTCATGTGCTCATTGGCCATATGTGTATCATCTTTGTAAAGTATCTTTTCAAATCTTTTGCCCATTTTTGTATTGGTTTGTTTTTCTGTTATTTTGTTTTGAGAATTCTTTATTATAGATACAAATCCTTTATCAAATATGAAGTATACAAATATTTTCTCCTAGTCTGTAGCTTGTCTTCATTTTCGTAACATTGTCTTTCAAAGAGCACAAGTTCTTAATTTTGACGAAGTTCTAATTTATCAGTTTTTTAAAATAGATTGAGCTTTTGGTATTGCATCTGAGAACTCTTTGTATAATGTAAGAACACAAAAATAGTCTCCTATGTTTTCTTCTAGAAGTTTTATAGTTTTATGTTTTAATTTTAGGTCTGTGATCTATTTTGAGTTAATTTTTATATATGGAGTAAGGTATGGATTAAGTTTCAGTATTTCTGCATATGGATATCCAGTTGTTCTGGCACCATTTGTTGAAAGGAATATCTTTTCTCCATTGACTTGCGTTTGCATGTTTGTCAAAAATCAATTGACCATGTATGTGTGGATCTATTTCTGATCCCACTCTCTATTCTGTTCCATTGATCTATTTGTCTATCTTTATACCAATGCCACACTGTCTTGATTACTGTAGCTTTATAATAAGACTTGAAATCAGATGGTGTAAAGCCTTCAACGTAGTTCCTCTTTTTCAAAGTTGTTTTCCTGTTCTAGGTCTTCTGCATTTCCCTATAAATTTTAGAATATATATAATGAGTTATGTATAGTTTTTATTACAGAATGGAAGTTGAGTCATTCTCAAGAAATCATTTAGTTATACTTTAGTCTCAGAATTAAAACAAAATAATACAAAAGAAAAGTTTCAGGTTACACACAATATTGATAACTTTACCTAGATAAACGATTTCAATATTCTATGCCAGGTAACATAGAATTATGAATTATAATTCCGCACAGAATTATAATTGCCTTTTAATATCAGTTAAGTTTCTTTGGTTAAAGGGAACAGAAAGGAAAAAAGGATTTATTGGAAAAATGCTGGGGTAGCTCATAGAAGTGAAGAGTGAGCTGCAGGAACTAGGGTAGCTCTAAGAACCTTAGAGATTGGACCTGAGGATTTAGTGTCCTCATGATTCTTTTTTCTAGGCTATTTCACATAGTGGAGCCCATGGTCTGCAAGAAGAAAAGGAACTTTCCCCACCTGCTCCACTGAGGAAAATTCTGGAAAGGAGTCTGATTGGCCCAGCCTGGGCACCTTCATCACTAATCACTACTAATCTAATCACTACTGAAAATGATTACTGACTACTAATTAATCACTGCTACTAATAAGGGACACAGGGAATTTTAATTGGTCAGCTCTGGAGTTTGAGTATGATGATAAGCAGTTTTCTCAAAGGAAGGGGATGCTGTTAACAGAAGTATGAAAAGTAGTTGCTGGGTTCACAGACACAATGGATGACCACTACCATGTAATACACATTGCTGAGAGAGAGAACTATTTGATGACCTAAAAGTAATAGACTACAGTTGGTGGACTTTCTTAAAATTCCCTTGATACATACTTATCATATAAACTGTTGTTCCTACAAAGCTAATCTATTCTCTTTGGGCCACGTGGCATATTATATATAACATGTAATAAATACCAGTTTTTTATACTTGAAAGTTGTTAAGAGAGTAGATCTTAAATGCTCTCACCAAAGGAAAAAAAAGGTAACTATGCAAGGTGTTGGATGTGTTAACTTTATTGTGGTAATTGTTTCACTGTATGTAAGTATATCAAAACATCACCTTGTACACCTTAAACTTACACAGTGTTATACGTCAATTATGTCTCAATAAAGCTGGGAAAAATAAAATGATATTACTGACAACAGTTTAAAAAATCAGCAGTTTTTACCACTTGGTTTTCTATTTGTGAAATTATTGTTTTGTTTAAATATTATATGGCAACTCATAATCTTCATTAATATTTTCTCTGCTTTCTATTTTAGGGTGACTGGAAATGTAGACAAGAATAAGCTGTTAGTATCCTGATGGCTTTTAGTATACGCTGACACATTGTTTGTGATGGCATCCGAGACTGAGATGACCCACGCTTTACTCCAGTCTTGTAGTCCTGAATCTCTTATTTCTAGCCTTGGTCTGGGGATATTTTCCCTAGTAGCTGACAGACTTCTTCAGTTTTCCATAATTCAGCAAAATGACTGGCTGCGTGCCCTGTCAGATAACGCAGTACATTGTGTGATTGGCATGTGGTCGTGGGCAATAGTCATTGGAGTCAAGAAGAAGACTGACTTTGGGGAAGTCATTTTAGCTGGATTTTTAGCCTCTGTTATTGATGTCGACCACTTTCTTCTAGCTGGATCCCTATCTTTAAAGGTAAGAAGCATGTAGGTTTAATTTTTATGGTTTTTCCTTTAATTTCTTTCGCACCATTATATTGATCTTCACAGTATCATTTTAGTGAGAGCTAGAGAAGATGTGCCTTATTTTAAAATAAGAAGCTCATTCACCCAACTTTTTCAAGCACTTGGTACTTCCCTTAAGGTGCACCAGACACATTGCTAATCAAGTTATGTGGCATCACAAAGTGCATGGATGTGCATACAGCAAGGACTCACTAATTGTACCTGAGGTGTTACATGCTGACTTTACAGAGAGTATTTAGCCAAATCTTGACGGAAGGATTAGCTCACTGGTTTAAAGTAATGGGAGTCATTCTTGGGGCTGTCCTAGTTCTTTCTGTATCAGTGTTCTTTCTTCAGGACCACACTTAAATTTTTCCCCTTATTCATATGTTTTACAGTTAGTATGCAGCTCCCAAGTGCTCTATAACAGTTGAATAGCTTTAAGATGATTCCCAGTCCTGGGGAATGACTTTAATGGATTCATTCCCTGAGTCCCTTTTGGGGCCAAAGGTGTGCATGTCAATGAACTGATTAGGACACCGTCCCTGGTGGAGAAATTGAGGAATTTCACTGAGGCTTCAGGGGTTTAGCTATACCATAACCTATTAGCCTTGCAAATGAACTATACTAAAAATGGCAGTTCAAATAATATTTTCTAAGGGTCAGCAGATTTCCTACCTTTTACGTGTTTATGATCTGCAAACATTTAAGGAAAGAAATACAAACTCTCATAGAGCAAGGACTTTGTCTGCTTGGTTTGCCACTGGCCTAGAACAGTACCTGGCTCACCTCGTAGATGTTCAGTAAATATTTGTTGAACGAATGAGAAGTGATCACTTCTTCTTCCTGTTATGTGTCAAGTACTGAACCAGGTATTTCTCAGAGGTTGTCTCACTTATTTAGAAATTTAATCAGTAAGAAATCCATAATTCCTGATTAAAGACAACTTTTAACTTCTTTGCTGTACTTCTGTAACATACTTCTGTTAACAGCATAACAGTAGAGGCAGCATAACATTGCTGTTTAAGACTGCAATCAGAAGACCTGAGTTTGAATCCTAGTTGTGAGGTGTTAGAAGAGGACTTTTCTTCTTTAGGTCAATTTCCTTATCTGTAAAATGTAGATTATCATGTTAGTTACCTCATAGGGTTGTTGTGCGGATAAATGAGCGTTATATGACACACCCTAGCGAATAGTTAACAATAAATGTTAGAGATTGGGATAAGCTATGAAGTATTATAAAAAGTATGTTCATGAAAGCATTCATCTAGAATTTAACTATGCTCTTGTAGTTTTTAAAAACATATGGCCTGTCTACTGTATTTATTCTTTGATTCATGTAGAAGCAGTAGTGTTAAGAATATGAGCCATAGAGTCAGACTCAGATTCAAATCTCGGCTCTGTCACTTAATAACCGCAAGATATGGGGAGAGTTACTTAGCCTCTTTAAGTCTGTTTCCTTCTCTGTCAAATAATCTCTATCTCATAGGATTGTTTTAAGGATTAAATGAGATAATGCATATAAAGTATAGTATAGTGCTGGTATTGATCCTTATTTTAGAATGAAGTATTAAAAATTTTTCACTTTCTCCATAAGATTGTATGTGATCATCAGTAATAAATATCAAAGCTGAATAAGTATTTATGATATTTATTTTTAAGTATCTAATTTTACTACTTTTTTTTTTTTGGTGAGGAAGATTAGCTGTGATCTAACATCTGTTGCCAATCCCCCTTTTTTTGCTGAGGCAGACTGGCCCTGGGCTAACATCCATGTCCATCTTCCTCTACTTTATATGGGAAGCCGCCACAGCATGGCTTGATAAGCGGCGCGTAGGTCTGTGCCCAGGATCCAAACCCTCGAACCCCAGGTGGCTAAAGTGGAGCGCACGAACTTAACCACTACACCACCGGGCTGGCCCCGATTATTTTACTTCTGTTTTTTAAGTGATCTATTTTTACTTCAGTAATTTTATGATAACATCTTTTTCTTCTTTCATTATACATTATTTTTCTATGAATGAAAAATCTGCATTAATATTTTAGAAATCAGCCCAAGCAACAGAAATTTCTTGTTTCTCCTTTAGCATCTATTAATATAAACAGACTTCACAAATAAAAGCGTGAAGAGTCAATATCCCTCCAGATATATCCAGAGCCTAACTGCTCATCATCTCAACATCTGGCTATTGCTTTCTTCCAAGTAATGATGACCATAGGCTCCCTCATCCCACCCTGCCTTAGGAGTATGATACATTGTGGGTATCAAACTTAAACACAAAGGTGGGGACAAAAATGGAATAATTCAACAGAAATTTTATGAGTGCTGACAAAGTAGAAATAAAACAACTAAAAATGTGGATGAGAAGGGAGAGGGAAGAGGAATGTAGAATGAACTCTTTGATGTGCAGTCAATAGGTGGGAGTTAAGGAACGCTGGTTTAAGGGTTTATAGGGCTTCCCAGCTTAAGGGTGGTCTGATTTGACTGTGGCAAGGTACAGTCTCTTTGATGGATGACTTTTTTTTTTTAATGTGGTGGGAAGTTTGTGTCCTTTACATTTTTTTTTTTTACTACTTCTTTTCCCCTTCACCACCTCATCTCCAAAGGGTACCTCTCCCTTCTTATTTACCATCTTCTCCCCCAGAACCAATGCCTTTCAAAGCTTTGAATCACGCCCGCTTACAGTCCTTTCTCTGTGGTCAGTGCTCTGATACCAGGACCCTTTTCAGTGTTTTCACACTTTGGTTGAACTTTCTCTTCCAAGTGGTAATTGTAGATCAGCTTAGGTTTCCTCTCCTCTCTCTTCAATGCAGTTTTTCCTGGCCTGTGATGGGAGTGTGAGCGAGAGCTCACTGATTTGGTGTTTAATAAATACTTTGGAGTATTTGAAATTCGAGCATTCTCTGAATTCTGTGTATGCTGAGTGGGATTTGGTATAGTTTTATTTGTCCTTGTTCTGTAATGTTTTGGAAGATATGTGGGGAAATTTGGATTTAGGCAATCTATCCTCAGCTTTCTTTTTATTAGGAATTTTCTAGTTGCAAATTAGCCTTTAAAGTATGTGAGAACAAAATCTTATGCATGGATCATTCAGGGGTTAAGCCTGAAATTTTCATTCGTTCAGATACTGATTACATTTTTTGCAGTGATTTAGAAATTTTACTGAAGTTTAACTCAACTTTAGAATACTTATTTAAAATAATCTTTCTAAATGTTGTAAATAAATTCTGAAAGCATTCAAGACTAATATAAAATGGTTATAACAAAAATATTCCCCTTTTGTGCCTTTATTAATTGAAGAATATTTTATTCTGTTGTGAGATGTTTCTCAACGCTCTTAGAGGCCCCAGACAATTCTTTAAAACTCCAGATTTACACATATCATACATTTGGGATATAAATTACATTCATATTGTGACTTTTCTAAGCAAATAATAGAAAACTTAAAAAATTAATCACCATATTCTTGAGGTCTTGGTTTCATTTTTAATGCAAAGGATGTTCTGCTCACGCTTTTTTCTTCTTTGCCTTGTACGTAATAGATTTAATGCATGTATTTGGAGGTGGCATAGAAAATGTTTCCCTTGCATTTCCAATAGACTCCTGGAAAATATTTTACAATAGTAAGAAGCACCTGTAAAACTTCGGCCAAGAAGGCAATGACACTAGCTGCTTCTTTTCAGGCTGCTTTGACTCTTCCACGGAGACCGTTCCTTCACTGTTCTACTGTGATACCCGTTGTGGCTCTGACCCTGAAGTTTACTGTGCACTTTTTCAAGCTCAGAGACTCGTGGTGCTCTCTTCCCTGGATGTTATTTATATCCTGGAGCTCACACCATGTCCGAGATGGAATTCGTCACGGCTTGTGGATATGCCCATTTGGAAAAACTTCTCCTCTGCCATTCTGGCTTTATGTGATAATCACATCATCTTTACCTCACATCTGTTCGTTCGTTATGTATTTAACAGGGACCAGACGAATGATGTCTTCAAAACATGGAATTCTTATTGATGTCTGAGGTAACCATATGGCAATCTCAGAGAAGCAAATGATTCAGACAATGATAACTAAGGGTAGCTGACATCAAAGTGGATTTTTAAAAACATATTAGGTACTTATATTAATTATTATAATTCCTGAGTCCTCTTGTCAGGAGGCATGTACAATTTTTTAAAAATTTATATACTTGGGGCCGGCCCCGTGGCTTAGCGGTTAAGGGCGCGCGCTCCGCTACTGGCGGCCCGGGTTCGGATCCCGGGCGCGCACCGACGCACCGCTTCTCCGGCCATGCTGAGGCCGCGGCCCACGTACAGCAACTAGAAGGCTGTGCAACTATGACATACAACTATCTACTGGGGCTTTGGGGCGAAAAAAGAAAAAAGGAGGAGGATTGGCAATAGATGTTAGCTCAGGGCCAGTCTTCCTCAGCAAAAAGAAGAGAATTAGCACGGATGTTAGCTCAGGGCTGATCTTCCTCACAAAAAAATAAATAAATAAAACTGTTAAAAAAAATTTATATACTTGTAATTCTATTTCTTCTCTAACACTCTAGTGCAATATTAGAGTTTCATTTATTCAGTGATATATTTTTATTGTTTCTTCTGTTTATCTGGCTTTACTAATAACTCTATTAGATTAACATCCATTAAGTTTTCTGAAAGGAAGCCTTTAAGGTAGTCCATTAGCTGATGAAAAACAGCTCAAATTTTAGGGTGACTAATTTGTGGAAAGTTAGCATTATATTTGGATCCACATTTTCCTGAGATATTGAAACAGTGAAATGACCAAAATAAATGGGGTCATGAGTAAGGCTTATAGTGAACTCGAACATTATTTCATGTGTGTTGACGCTGACTGAAGTTTAATTTGCCAAGTGCTTTAGTGAGTTGTGATTATTGGCAGAATCTGTTCAGTGCACTTGTGAGAAATCACTATAATATTCATAAAAGACCATAACTAACATTAGGTCTAGGTTATTGTTTTGGAAATCAGTTTAGGGAATAATCACTGTAATACATTAGCTATCGTAACATCTTATTATTTTTTCAGTATCTTTGCCCAAATATCTCATGTGTTAGGGTTTTCACTGTTTTGAAAAACATAACTAAACTTAACAAAATATTTGTTAAAAATTAACAAAATATTGATAGTTGGCTCACAACCATAGAATTTGAATTCACACAGAAAAGGACTTAACCAGTAATGTCATTTCAAATGTAAACTCCTGAATGGGCCATTAAAATTGTTTTAGTTGCTATCAATTTGTTTACACACTATTCTAAAGTATTATACCAGTTAAATCATTTTTAAAAATCTGTCTGATACTGAAAAAACATATTTTTTTCAAAATAAAGTCATTTTAGGAAATTTGCTTTTTCCTTTGTTCTTTCAAATTGACCTTCTGTTAAAAGTGATTAACCTTTATTAGAGAAGGAAAATTTAGTTGCTGTAAATTTTGCATCTGCACAGTTTAATGTTATTTTGATATAAAAGTCAATGTCCCAAAGGCACCTGCTTTTTTTTGTAGGATATGTGTCATCTGCTGTCTTCAGATTTTCTTTCACATTGGATTTGTAATGCTGGTGGTTGTGTGCCTTATACTCTGAGAAATTATGAAGCAATGGATTATCCAAAGCAGATTTTTCTTATTTATTAAGTTAAACAGAGTTCTGTAAATTGTTATAAAAGTTCAAGCTCTAGTTTAGTTTAGTTTTTCTTTTTGTTGTTAACCAACTGGGTGCATTCCATTATATTTTACAGTCTATTGGATCTTTGTCTTTTGGGAGTAATTATTGTGTCAGTTTGGTTGGTTTAATAGTAAATATTATATGGGGGGGTAAATTTGATTAAGGTGGAGATTTTTATAAAGCATATGATTTCAGAAACCCATGGAAATAAAGCATATATCTTGTGTAACTTTTTCTGACTAAATAATAAAACTCTACTTTTTTCTTTCCCTGTATTAAACAAAGGAATATCATTAGAATAAAGGGACTTATTTAAGAATGTCACATTGGCATTTGGGGGGTTGTCCTAACTTTGTTTAGTAGAATGGGGATTCACTGTGGCCATGACTCCTTGCTTAAACAATAACTGCAAATTTTAAGTGTGGGTTTATCTTTGTTCCTATCTCTACCATCAAAAATGTTCCTTGTCCTCTAAATGGTCTCTGACGGCTGTGGTCATGACCTCTAGAAATATAACCCCCAACTTCCCATGCTACCATTTTGTTCCTGCTCCTAGTGAAAGAGCTTGTGTCAATACATCATTATTGGAAGGTGGATTGTATCTCGTTTGCATGTGTGTGTTTTCTCCATCCTCTAGACATCCTCCATTCACTTAGTGTTTCCCTCTTGGCTGTTCCACTGATCTGACCTCCCAATCTACTGTTTTCTTGAGCTATGTCCGTTATGCTGGCTACTCAGGAGAATTTCCACCAGTGAACTATTTTCTACTCATCCCCAAGCCAAGTTTTTCTTTAGTGGTGGGCTAAGAACCCCTGTTGTGGATGGGTTAAAACTCCCATTTTTCCTCACCCTCTTTCTTTAACTTAGACCTTTCTTCTCCTAGGCAGCTAGCTGCCCCCCGCCCAACCCACCTCCCTGCCAACACCCACCCAATCAGGCAGATACTCCCTGGCTCCTTTTTCTTTGGCTGTTGGAACAATTACTTAGTTTTTCCCATTTTCCCAGCTGAAGAGGAGAGGAATGGGGGCTATTCTGGTCCTTGCTCGCCACTGTCACAGCTAAACCTTTTATCCATCATAGTTCTCAGTTTTCTTCATTTGCTATCTCATTCCACTGGTCACTCCAAATCTTCCTTACCCTCAGATACTACCCTCTAAGACTCACCGTCACCTCCTTTGATGGTATGAGCACCTGGATCCCTTTTTCCTTTTATTCCAACCCTTGATTTTATCCTTTGATGAGCCATACATAGGTCCGAGCCCGGGATCCAAACCTGTGAACCCTGGGCTACCAAAGCAGAGCACCTGAAACCTGGGCTTCAATATTCCTCTCTTCTTCTATACCACCACCTCTTATCGCCATATCACGTCAGCCATCCACCAGTACCACAGGCCTCGGTCCTCCTTTTAGGTGACACTGCTTATCTCTGAGATCTCGAACTTTGTTTCCTTTTTCTAGACCAGTGGTTCCCAAACTCTAGCATACATCAGAATCACCTGTAAGGCTTGTTAAACCAGCAGTTACTTGAGACCCAGGCCCAGAGTTTTGAGTTGGTAGGTCCTGAGAATTTGCGTTTCCAGCCAGTTCCCAGTGGATATCAATGCTGCTGTTCAGGAACCATACTTTAAGAACCACTGCTCTAGACCCATCTTGTTCCTTTTTCTTTTTCTTTTTGGTGAGGAAGATTAGCCCTGAGCTAACATCTGATGCCAGTCCTCCTCTTTTTGCTGAGGAAGATTGGCCCTGGGCTAACATCCGTGCCCATCTTCCTCTATGTGGGACACCTGCCACAGCATGGCTTGATAAGCCATGCATAGGTCCACGCCCGAGATCTGAACCTATGAACCCTGGGCCACCAAAGCGGAGTGCGCAAACCCAATCACTACGCCACCAGGCCGGCCCCTAGACCCATCCTGTTTCTTTAACTTCATTTTCCTTCCCTCCCTTCTCTTCATTGAGCCAACTCTTTGCCTTATCAGTATCTTTATTTTTTCTTAAACTTCCTTTGTCCCCAGGTCCATCAGCCCTCTGCTAGGGACATTTAACTGTCCTTGCCCTACCTATATGGTGCTGTAAGTTAATGTTTCAACTATTTCAACACCCTAATACCTGAGACTTCCTCATGAATTAATCTAATTAGCCAACTCCGAATAATCCACATAGTCCACTTTCCCTGGTTCTACTTTAGACCACATGTCTTTAAAGTAGTTATGGGGGGCCAGCCTGGTGGACAGCAGTTAAGTGCGCGAGCTCCGCTGCTGGTGGCCCAGGTTCGGATCCCGGGCGGGCAACGACGCACCGCTTGTGAGGCCGTGCTGTGGTGGCGTCCCATATAAAAGTGGAGGAAGATGGACACAGATGTTAGCCCAGGGCCAGTCTTCCTCAGCAAAAAGAGGAGGATTGGCATGGATGTTAGCTCAGGGCTGATTTTCCTCACAAAAAAAATAAAATGCAAACTTTAAATAAATAAATGAAGTAGTTATGGAACCATGCTGGCTTGGCCTACTACGGTTCATACTATCTAACTTCAACTGGGTACTTAATAATGCTTTGCTCACTACTGAGCAGTTTTTTCCCAAATATTGTACCAGACAAGCCAAGCATCAGACTATCTGCCCATGTTAGGTCCAGCCCCAAGACAGGAGGCTTAGAGCATTCCATTGATCTGAGCAACTCCTGTTAATAATCAATCTCCACAGTTACTTTGCACTTTGCATAAATCCAAGGCATTGCCACATATGTCTTCGCGGCATTTCTTTACTTCTCAGGAATAATGATAATAGTTAAAGGGTTTCTGAAGCATTTTACCCTTTTGAGTGACCTTGCAAGAAGTTATTTGGCTTACATACCCACCAGCACTAATTAATGTTGCTTCAAGTCTGGGCAGCATTCCAATCCCATCAGCCCCATAATTTTCTGAACAGGAGGGGAATGTCAGATTAGAGCTCTGACCTCTCCTTTCCTCTGATTCTCCTCAGATAATCTGTGTGAGATCTCAAAGAAAGCACCCATCTGAATTCACACACCCTTACTTATTCAGTAGTCATTTGACTTAATTTGAGCATCGCCCAGGTTCCCAGGTCAGCAGTATTGATACCATGTACATAAATTGGAAGGCAGAGAGAAAATTTTCCCTAAATATCTGGGTGACACTAAATAAAGTATAAAATGTGGGACAGTGGTCACATAACAGACCACATGCAAGTGTAACATACCTAAATGACTGTGGTCATACCTCACTACCCTCAGCTATTTCATGGAATTCCAGGGAGTGGTTGGAGCTTCTGAAAAGTATTCATAAGACACCTGCCAAAAGGACAACATTGTATGCTGCAGAGGCTGTGCTCTTCTTGGAAAGCCATGTGTAAATACCCTGCTTCCTTCTTCCTGGAACTCCATGGCTGTTTGCCCCGAGTCTGTAACAATAGCCTCTCAGTCTCTGGCCAGCAGAGACTCTGGTGTTTCTCTAGATTCTAAACTGACTGGCACAGGGCTGGTTGGT